TGTCATCATTCCCGTCAGGAACATAAGGGATTCGGTTGTCATCATTTCCATCAGGAACATAAGGGATTTGGTTGTCATCACCGTCAGATGGGCAGTTGTTGCAACATGGACATGTGATAGGCGGTGGTTGCGGTGGGTTCAACATGTGAGATGGTACCACTTCATATTCCATGGTCAAGAGACCAGGGACAGGTATAAGAGAACCACCTCCCGTAATAATCTGACAGCTTGGGACTTCCTGCGTCGTCCAAATGCTCCCCGAACAAGGAGTGCCGGAATCAGTCTTGTCCTTGCAAGCCAGAATACAGGAATCGGGATCCAAGGCCGTATGTATATCCCAAATCGACCCGCCCTGAAGCGCATGATCACAGTGGTAGGTGACCGCGAGGTCGGGAGGGAGGAACTTTTGCGGCGGATTGGCGGGGCAGTTCCAGCCGTAGTTATCTTGCGCGGTTGCCGGTATGGGTCTCTTGATAGTCATCACAAGTGCGGCTGTTTCGTCCGAGGAACCATTCCAGTTCTTGACCTTGTGGCACTCGTATTCAGTGCCAAAAATTTCACTCCATGTTGCAGCCTCACAGCTTGTGTCGGTTTCGCATGCTAACGCGCAGGCATCCGAGTTTTGGATATTGGGCACAGGAGTGAAGTCGGCGGTTGTTGGATAAGCACCACATTGGTAGGTGGCCTTTTTACCACCAGCAATGGGTCCTTCTTTATTATCGAAACGAGGGCATTTCTGCGCGTAGCTGGAGAAATTCGGGAGGTTCTGTGCCTTGGCGAGCAGGAGGAAGGATAGTGGCAGAAAGAAGGTTGGGGCCCTCATAGTGCGAATGATTCCGGCAATAACTGTAGATGAACAGATGTCAGTGTTTGTTTGACAGCTTTGAGCAGGTTGGATATTGTATGGACCCACCACTGAGAAGAGCTTAGTAGCTGTTAATTAGTAGTGTAGATACATGAGTTAAACTGATTTAAATATGTATTTCGAGTGAAATTGCTGCCTTCTTGGTCTTTTTCACTGTTCAAGTAAAAAGTACAGAGAAAAACCCTTGACCTCCTTCTCCACCTGCTGAGAAGGCTGTCTGTATCCATTACTTTGTGAAATCCTGTAGTAAAGCCCAAGAGAGCAGAAATTGCCGATCATTTATTCAGCCGTAAGATACTAACTGCAGCTGTTCATATGATACGGCCTTAAACTCGAGGAATGCATATGCGGAGTCTATCAAAGTACTACGTAGCATCAACTGCAAAAGACAAGGCCCACTGTATTGAATACATATGCAATACTAGTTCAATTCTGCAGGATAAAATACGCTAAGTGCCCGCGCTACGAGACCCAGTTATTGAATCTGCAGGTTTTAATTGCAGGAGCTGAGGTTTTAATTGCGGGAGCTGAGGTTTTAGCGCCATTCTTGCTGCAATGCAAGCTATACAACAGCTGACACATCATAATGCACGATGAACTTTGCGGCGGCGAACTTGCAAGTGGGCCAGCAACGCTGTCTATGCAGTGACAATTTTTATGACCAGGGATGTCTCAACTGCTGTTCTTCAGCTGGGTGGATCCTAGTGGAAGTACTCTGTATTGTACAGAGCATAGTCTCAATGCAATACAGGATCTTTGGAGTTTGAATGTTCATGACAAATACTGATATGTATACCGCATTTCTTCTCGTCACAGTAGAAAGAACCGGATGCCGAGCATTTCACACAGCAAATTAAGGGATTGGCCCGACCCTGTGTGGGACTGGATATGAGTGGCTATATTCAGCTGGACTAAATCAGTATTGGGGAAGGTATGCAATCCAACCTGTGACTTCTTTTGTTATATCACCATACATGGTTGTACTGCCATCGTTTTTATAATCTGATTATCCACAGCCTTGAATGATTCCAACATATCTACCAACTTATCTCAATCAGTGACTTTTCTTCACTCCTGCCATAGCAATGGCTTGGTCTCAATTGTTCCTCCTTGCCATCACGGCACTCTCATTTTTCAATCCGGTGTTTGCCATCTACCAAGGCACACACAGCAACTGCGGCGAACACCCCTACGCAGTTCATATCGAACACCACAGCTACGACGATAATGGCGCCAGTTATTCCTGTGGCGGCACCATAATCACCCCGCGACATATCCTCACGGCCTCACACTGCGTACTTCACGCATTCGGAGCTTCCGCAGCCAAAGCGCAGGAAAGGAACATGCGAGTCCACCTACTCAGGTGTGAAAACAACCGTCTTGTCAAGACGGGGAGACTATACCCCACCAAGGAGATTCACCTTAGGGAGGAGTATCTCACCCAGCCTACCCCGGAGTACGATATCGCTGTGATCGAACTTGAGCAAGAAATCAAATACCACCCGTTCCTTTCGAGCTCGGCATTCCTACCTACCTATGAAGGTCCCGTCCAGTCTCGGTGGGAAGACAATAAGCAGCTCACGCTTATCGGCTCCGGCACGATTAGTTCGTCACCCGCTGATTTAAGCGATCACCTTCGACAGGTCCGGGCCGCAGTCATCGATAAATCAGAGTGTGGACATCGATCAGACGCTGCATGGGGTTATCCAGGGTCCATGAGTCAGATGCAAACGGATAAATTCTTCTGCGCTATCGACCGGGTGACGCTTGGGGGCGCCTGCTCTGGGGATTCCGGCTCGGGGTCTCATGAGTATACAAACAGGAAGAAGAAGGTTGTTGGCGTTGTGGCTGCGGGTCCTGTGTACTGCTCGCAGCCAAATCACTACAATGCTTATACCAGTGCCAGTGCTTATCTCGGATGGATTAAGAGTGTTGTGACTCCCTACCAGCTTAAGCAATTTTAGATGCTTGGTGTTAGGAGAGAGTATCACGTGGTATATGTCTATGGCGATACTTTGAGACCAAATCTGTAGATACAATGAAAAATTCAGGTAGTGTGATGGATACTTTGTTAAGATTTGTTATCTGTATCAAGAAATCCAAATGGAGTAGGGCATAGTACTGTCGATGTCTGGGTAAGCCTTTGCAAGTCTTGAGCGAGAAGCTCGAAGACCATGAGATGAGATTTTGTGTCGACCTTGCAAAAGTGATCCAGCAAAAATGATCCAGTAGACCTTTCAATCAGATATTCAAAACGTGCATCATAGCTTGCGTACTCTACACATGTTGACTGAGGTTTCAACAAACGTAAGACGAATGATATTCAATTTTCTCTTCACAAGCATCACTCAACTCCAACCAAACACATCCACTCAACTCCACGGCCCCTGGTATACATATTCAAAAATCACCTAACATCTAAACAGAAGTTCCTTGAAAATCACTTCCCTGGGAAACACAGCCACAGCTACTTTTTTCATCACCACATGCCCCAGAACAACCCATAGAGTGAGCACTCTGGAAGCCCCATGCGTCAAGCTGAGGCTCGCCGTGGTGGTTACTGTAGTAGCACGTCTTGCTGTTGGTGTGGTAGTCGACACTGTGGCATGGAATAAACTTGGAGCAGGCATCCATGCAGTCCTTGAAGGTTTCCTGAGTGTCCTCGTAGAGAACCGTGGTTCCGTGGCGCTTTGCGCAGTCCATATGGAAGAGCTAGAGATATGGTTAGTGTTGTGCACCGGGTCATTCTCTCTGAATGGAGTTACTCACTTCGCCGCCTTTGCTCTTGTACTGCTGACCATCAGAAAAGGGACACTCTGTGGCGCATGCGACAGTTGCAACATCGGGGGAATCGATCGCTGGAGGAGCGGTGATGTATGCGTAGTCATGAGTATCATCTCCACACTTGAATGTTTGGTGTCCGCCAGTGTTGTAAAGCTTGCAGGTTCCTCGGGCATCCACGCGATTAGCGCGTGCGGAGTAGACATAACTTGGAAATATTAGTGAGTGTATTGTTGTAAATTGCGAGCGATATTACCTCTGGCAGCCACTTGTGGAGCTGCATGTTGTGGCACATTCTTTGAAACTTGATACTATTGACTTGGTATTGGGGATTTCACTGTTATCTGGGTTATGAGTGCAGCAGAGCAGGGTAAAATAAGAGCCATCATCCATGGAAAACAGATTGCCATTGTCTATACACAAATATCAGCAACTACCTTCAAATAATCCAAAAGTACAGAGACATGCTTACCATCAGGACACTGTGGGTTGTCAACAACCAGCGCATTGGGCTTGGGCTGAGCCAAACGCTGAGTCACGGGAGGGCAAGTCCGCGGGACACGCTGCTGTGTAGCCCGCCACTGGTGGTGGCCATTGCTTGCAGCGCCTGGGAAATACTGCGGTCCTTTCAAATAACACACCCGGGAAGAATGGTCCCAATCAGCTCCCTGGCACTGGTCGTCCTGTGCGCAAAGGTCTGCACATTGCTTCAGGTTGCTGGTCGGGGCTGATGAACGGTCTCCAATATAAGCCCCATAGTTGCATCTAAGCTCGAAGGTCACAGTGCCACTAATTATGTGTTAATATGAATGATCACTTGTACTTTCCGGCTCTTGCACTTACATTGTATAGGACTCCCTGTCGTTTACATCACACTGGTAGTCTGGCAGGTTCTGTGATACAGCACCACTGTCTTCAGGGACATGCGGGATAGTGTTTTCTCCACCGGCTTCGGGGACGTGAGGAATTTGATTCTCTTCACCTTCAGGGACTTGGGGGAT